GAAGTAAGAAGGCGTTGGAAGCAGATTGGGTTTCCCGCCCGCCCCCTGAAGAGTCGGAAAGAATAAGGACAACCACTCCATCGCTGAAATAGGAAAGCGCCTAACATCGACCGGGATCTGACTCCAGAAATCCGCCGATCCGGCGTGTGAGTTTAAGAAATCTACAACCTGAGCTTCAACTCTGCTGGGGGGGGGGGCCGGGGGGGCTCTGCCGGGGTAGGGGGGGGAGGGAGGGGGGTTCATCGGGTCCACGCTTTCTTCTCCCCCCCCCCCAGGAATCCCAAACCGCCCCAAGACGGGCCAAAAGGGGCCCAGGAGGCCACCAAGACGGTCCAGGAGGCGCCCGAAACGGCCCAAGAGCGCTCCTGGACGCCCAAGATGGCCTGAAGACGGCCCAAGAGGCCTCCAAGACGCCTCAAGGAGATCCCAAGAGGACCCCCAAGAGGGCCCCAAGAGGGTACAATAACAAAGTTGCTAATAGGTTTCGAAGCATTTTAACATTATCGCCTTTTCCGTCTGAGAAGCGTCGAAGACGGTCCAAGAGGCCCCCAAGATCGCCCCAAGACAGCCCAAGAGGCCCCCAAGAGGAGCCAACACGGTCCAAGAGGGCCCCAATATAGCCCTGGAGGCCCCCCAAGACGACCCCGAGAGGCCCCTAAGATGGCTTCAAGAGGGTGAACCCGAACGGACCCTTCGAGTTCTCCACCCCAAGATGACCCCAAGAGCCCCCAACATGCCCCCGAGGCTCGAGGCGCCCCCAAGGGGCCCCCAGAGGCCTCCAAGAGGTCCCCAAGAGGCCCCCAAGAGGACCCCGAGAGGCCCCCAAGAGGCCCCAAAGGCCCCCAAGAAGCCCCAAGAACCAAGAGGCCCGAAGAGGCGCTCACTCGCGTGCTGCCAGGCCAGAGGTGCACGGCCTGACTTGGTATGGCTCGGAAGCGAAAGCGATGAACGAAGAACCTTCCACCCGTCGCCGTCATCAGTCGTTGGTCGTCGGCCGTCGGCAGCCGTTCGCCGTCAGTCGTCGTCGTCGTCGTCGTCGTCGTCGTCGTCGTCGTCGTCGTCGTCGTCGTCGTCGTCGTCGTCGTCGTCGTCGTCGTCGTCATTAACTCCTTCGTCGGTCGTCGTCGTAATTATCCCGCTCGTCGACCGTTGGTCGTCCGTTGTCGTCGTCATCGTCCATCTCAACAACACTAGCATCAGGAGCGCCCCGGATCGGCGGCACTGGCCGGAAGCCACTGCAATACTGAACTTCCAACGGCCGACGCGCGCTGCCCACCCTCGCGCCGCTGCCCGGGGCTCCTGGGCTGACCGGGGGGCCGCCGCCACGAGGAGGAGCCGCCGCCCCGAGAGGAGGAGAGCCGCCCCTCCGCAGGGCGAGGCCGGGCGGGGTCCTCGGCGGCCCGCGGCCTTCCTTCGCTGGGGCAGGCAGCGGGGACGCCTGGGCCGACGCGGGGCCCGCGGGCACGGGGCAGGCCCTGGGGGCCTCCGCTTCGATCCACGATCTTCGCGGGGGGGGGGGAGGAGAGGCGGAGGAGGAGGGAGACCTGGGCAGGAGGACGTGGGCAGCAGGAGGCGGAAGAGAAGGACGATCCGAATAAGCCTCGATCCGCGGGGGGAGGAGGAGGAGGAGGAGGAGGAGGAGGAGTAGGAGGAGGAGGAGGAGGAGTGGAGGGAGGAGGAGGAGGAGTAGAGAGAGGAGGAGGCGGAGGAGGAAGGAGGAGAGGAGGAGAGAAAAAGGAAGAGGAGGAGAGGAGGAGGAGAAAGGAGGAGGAGGAGGAGGAGGAGGAGGGGGAGGAGGAGGGGGAGGAGGAGGAGGACGAGGAGGAGGAGGAGGAGAAGGAGGTGGAGGAGGAGGAAGAGGAGGAAGAGAAGGAGGAAGAATATCCGCGCGCATCGAGACGGGCCGACGGCCGCCTCGGCACGGGGGGCCTGGTTTCACCACCTGAGGTGCCAGGACTCCCCGACCGTGAACACGACGTGGTCGAGCTCGCACGAGGACGAACTTACCGATGCCGTCCATGTCCGCGGGAGTGGGCTAAGGGGCGAGGGCCCTGCACGAAAAGCGGCGAGGCTGCCTACCCCCCCCCCCCGCTGCTCCTCCCGCGGCCAGCCGCCCCCCCCCCCCTGGGCAATCAGCGCGACGAAGTCGCGCATGCGGCCCTCGTCGCCGCCGCAGCGGCTGCGGAGGAGCTCGATTGCGGCCTCCATGGAGCCAGCGGCCATGAGCTCCTCGGGCAGGCCGACGACGCCGCCAGGAGCAGCAGCAGCAGGCGGCGCCAGCTGCGACTCCGCGCCCGCAGGCGCAAGCGGGCGAGAGCGCGCATCGCCCCCACCCGTGGCGCCTGGAGGGCGGTGACGCGGCCAACGCACGATCGGCAGGTCGTCGGCCCAATCGTCGGGCGCCAACTCCAAAGGCCCCTCCTCCGCAGCCCCTCCCATGCCATGGTCGTCCTTCACGGCGTCCTCCTGCCCAGCCTTGTCACCGCCCGTCTTGCCGCCGCCGCCGCCGAGGGGCAGCAAGCGGCGCAGCACCAGCCACCGCGTCCAGCGCGGGCGCGGGAGGCTTGGCCAGGAGGGCCACCGCGGCCCTGACCATGCCCTCGGCTGCACGGAGGAGGCGGGGTGCCTCGATCATCTCCGTGCTGCCCGTAGTGAGCCCTGCCGCCGAGTGCACGGTCAGCAGCGCGCCGCGCGCGACCTCCAGCGCCGCGGGGCGGGCTCCATCGCGCGAGACGTCGGTGGCATCGGAAACGCCGCGGAAGGACGAGCGACCCTGCAAGCAAAACGTGATCCATAATACCGACTAGGAGGATGAGGAGGAGCAGGAGGAGGAGGAGGAGGAGGAGGAGGAGGAGGAGGAGGAAAGGAGGAGGAGGAGGAGGAGGAGGAGGGAGGAGGAGGAGGGGGAATAAGGAGGGGGAGGAGGAGTGGGAGGAGGAGAAGGAGGAGGAGGAAACAGGAGAGGATGGAGGACGGAGCAGGAGGAGGAGAAGGAGCAGAGGAGGAGGAGGAGGAGGAGGAGGAGGAAACGAGGAGGAGGAGGAGGCGGAGCAGGAGGAGGAGCAGCAAGAGGACGAGGGGGTAGGCCGCAGGGCCGCTCCGCTTCGATCCTCGGACCTCGTGGGGAGGAGGAGGACGAGGAGGAGGAGGAAGAGGAGGAGGAGGAGAAGGAGGAAGAGGAGGAGGAGAAGGAGGAAGAGGCGAAGAAGGAAGAAGACCTGGGCAGGAGGCCCTGGGCAGGAGGAGACGGAGGAGAACGATGATATGAATGAGCCTAACTATGGAGGGAAAGGAGAAGAAGAAGAAGGAGGATAAGGAGAAGGAGAAGGAGGGGTAGCAGCAGGAGGAGAAGAAGAAGCAAGACGAGGAGGAGGAGGAGGACGTGGAGAAGAAGGAGGAGCAGGAGGAGGAAGAGAAGGACCGGGGTAGGCCGCACGGGCCCTCCGCTTCGATCCTGGATCCTCGTGAGGAGGAGAAGGCGGAGGAGGAAGAGGAGGAGGAGGAGGAGGAGGAGGAGGAGGAGGAGGAGGAGAAGGAAGAGGAGCAGGAGGAGGAGGAAGACCTGGGCAGGAGAACCTGGGCACGAAGAGGCGGAGGAGCAGGACGATCTGAATAAGCCTAGATCTGGAGGATGAGGAGGAGGAGGAGGAGGAGGAGGACGGGAAGGAGGAGGAGGAGGAGCAGGAGGAGGAGGAGGAGGAGGAGCCCAGACCATCCGAGCGTCACGGGCAACGAAATAACCGGATTTGCATAGGGCTGAGGGGAGCGAGGTCGGAGTGATTCTTAGACGCCGTGCGGCGGGTAGCAGCTCGTGCAGAGTGGGCCTTGGCGTGGTGACGGCTGGACTCGGCTCGTGAACCCTTGTCGCCTTGCTGGTCGCGGCTCGTGCTTTGTCCCCTGGTGTGGGGCTGCCCCCTGAGGGCCGTTGTTCCTTAGGACGCCCTTAGCCCAAGCTCCCCCCCTGCGGGCCCTCCTCCTCTTCTTTTTGTTGTTCCTCCTCTGCATCCTCCCCTCTTGGGAGTGTGCGTGGGCTTCGGGTTTGTCCTCTCCGCGTGGCTCGTGTTTGGGAGATCCTCGTCGCCACTGTCTCCATCCTGCACTTTCTCGCCATATCCCTTTGCATAGGCATCGACCGTCTTGCCTGAGGAACAAGCGAACGAGGAGGAGGAGGAAGAGCAGAAGGAGCAGAAGGCGGAGGATGAGGAGGAGCTGGGAAGGCGGCGGCGGAAGGAGGAGGAGGAGGAGCAGCAGCAGCAGGAGGAGAAGGAGGAGGAGCAGCAGGAGGAGGAGGAAGAGAAGGACCGGGGTAGGCCGCAGGAGCCC